ACACACAGCAACCCCTGGGGCCAGCAGCGACAAACTCATAGGCCCCACCGGTACCCACCGCGCCAGAGTGGATCCAGGCACGGACACAGAGGCCCAGGCCCCCAGGGTGCACCCCCACCCCCAGGCCAAGGCCCGACAGGGCCAGAGGGACCCAAGCCCCACCGGGCAGCCACTGGGCCGAGCCGGCACACGCCCAAGCACCCAGCCCCGGACAACGAGAGCCACCAGTGCACCGGCAGGCAAAGGTACAACCCACCAGAGGACAGCWCGGCAGGGACGTAATGGGCCCTGAAATGATCCCGAAGAAGGGGCTGCCCAAGTCCCAGCCTGACAAAAAATACAAACATACACAAACACAATCACACAGTCCCACCCTCGTCCTCTCACCCACTCATTCAAAGACACACAAAAATATTGAATGGCTTAACATTACTGTCATTGTGCTGCAAATTRATGCAAATTATTTTTTGTATTTTTGCACTAAAGAAGCCAGACTTCTTTTAGGTTATATATAATAATTATTCAGGCTTTCTGAGCATCTTTCAAAGTTTTTCTTTAAACTTATTATTTTTCATCCCTTTTTGTCCAATTATCTTAAATGTTCAAAAATACTTTAATGTTTGTGACCTTATTGTGACAAATGAATCATTTTTGACATAATCAGATGTCTAGGATTTAATTAACGTGTTTTCGACWCCTAACAGACAACTTTACAAGGAACCAATATTAAATATTATCTTTAGTTATCAGCTTAAAACAGAAATGAAATATGCTGCCCTTTATTCTGTTGAATTTATAAAAAATCACTAAAGAGCTTGTCATATGTCATGGTCAACTGAAAGACAGTGCTGTTTTAAAACCACTGTTCAGTCTGATAGTCTTGTGAATGTTATTTTAGATTTTGAGACTTGTTACATCAACTGTCCACTTAAATCCTCATTTGAAAACACACAGCACAAATTTTTGGGTACAAGGACTGAGTTGAGGACTGATAATGAAGCCAAGTTAAAAAAATGAACTTCAGAAAGCCTGAAGGTCTATTGATCTATAGAGATGGTGGAAGTTGAAGGTGGAAGGTGAAATATTTGATTATTATATTTGCGTAATGTGTGTAAAGAAGAAAAGGATGGTCGACGTGAACATAATATTGTTCTGGTTGTCTGTGATTTACCTTGTCTGTTTTCTTGAATGCAAAGGTGTAAAGTAAAACAACAGGACTTTGTGACACTTGAAGGAGTACTACCATCCAAACATTGGGCCTCATGCAAGAACCGTTCGTTCGCACAGATTTGTTCTTAAATTGTGCGTACGAGTGATTTAGGAGTATATGTGGCATTCACCAATGTTTTCATATTCTAAGATTTTTTTCAGATATGAACAAAATTCACGAGTGGTCCACGAGATTTTACGAGTG